TAGGCAAGAGCCGGTTTGGGCAGGAAGCTGTGATGCTCAACAAAGCCCGATGGTCAGGACGTGAACAAGTGTCCTCATCAGATAAGAGCCATTAGGTGGCCAAAAAATTAACAGTCAGTGGGACCAGCCTTGTCTCGTTCTGGTTTTGGGCCAACTTCGAGTCATCTGACGGGGGTGTTTAATACTTACAACAGTGAATTCATATAGTTTGTGTCTTCTCTTTGATAAAAATTCTGGTATTTTTGTCACATAATCTCACGTCACAAACTCAGACTTATAATTTTAGCTTTTCTAAAGGTTACTAACAAGAAGGGGGAAAAAGACGTACTTTTAATTTGCATGGTTCCTTTAAATGATTGGCAGGCTCTGTCCATCATGGCAAAATTTCCTTATCTTAAAGTTTTTTCAAAAAATGAAAAAGAAAAACAGCAACAACAAAACCACAAGGCATACCTCAAAAGGACGATTATATGAGAATTTATGTGTCTGTGCCATAAAAGCTTTTCATAAGAAAGTTTTTATGCAAAGATGACAAATAAAACAATTTTATGCCCCTGTTGCCATTTGTCAAGTAATAAATAAAAGGAACATGAAATATAGAGGGCTCTATACACTGTCACCAGTCAGTGCCTACGGTTTCAAAGATAACATAAAATACAGCTCTCAATACACCAGAAATCCGCTTTTAAAAGCTATCATTTATAAATTATAGGTTTAAACACAATTCTATGAAGTTTAAGTAAGCCGTGGTACAGCATTAGACCTCGGCACTCTAAATTTTTAAAAGTACAGGTTGTGATACTGTAACAGATACGTGCCAGCCCCGGGAGACCCACGGACAAGCCCGTACGATCAGATTCTCCAGGACTCTAATCACAGGCAGTTGAGCGTATTTTAAAAGCTGCAGAGAGAACTTGTGATCATAGTCTGCATTGGAATGAGCTGTGATGAGTACCATGAAAACCAGAAAATGAAGGGGAGAGAAAGCAAATGTGGGTACACAAGTAACTCTATTTATCCGCGGGAGATACGTTCCAAGGCCCCAGGGGATGCCTGAAACCACAGAGAGCACCGAACCCTATATGTACCATTTTTTCCTCTACATCCAGCCCTATGATAAAGTTTAATTTATAAATCAGGCACAGTGAGAGATGAACGATGACTAATGATACGAAAGAATGATCATGACAATATACTGTAACAAGTGTGAATGTGGTCTGTCTCAAGATAGCTTTTGCTGTACTCACTCTTCTTGTGAGGATGTGAGATGACACAATGCCTGCGTGGTGACATAAAGTGAGGGGAACGACTTGCGATTGCGATGTAGCATTAGGCTACTATGAGGGTGACTTGAGCACAAGCCCTGTGAGACCACCCCAGTCGATGTGATGACCGAGCCGGCTACTATGTGACTGACGGTTGGGGAGTGAATACAGCAGGCAGACGCCGGACAAAGGGATGATTCGGGACCACATGCCATTTAAAATGTATGAATTGTTTACTTCTGAAATTTTCATTTTAACATTTTCAGACCGAGGCTGACTGCAGGTAACTGGAAGCCTGAAAAGCCAAACCGCGGATACGGGGGGACGACCGCATTCGTAATATACACAGAATACCGCAAAAGCAGAGGGGCACTGTTCCTGTCCTTCCGAAATCACTCGCGAATCTACTGAGGTCAGATTTCACTGACCAGGGACGTCTGCAGCCTGGCCTCTAGTGGCAGATGGTCCACGTGAAGATGATAGCACCCTGAGGGGATGCTGTATAAAGAACAGTGGTAACTGTCACCCCAGAGCCAGTCGCCATGGCTCGACCGCATATTTACAGCGATCATAAATCAAAACCATATTCCAGATCAACATGGCATGGAGATCATAATCATCGCTACACCCGAGATTGTTAAAGCACCAAAAAGAACGTTCGCTCTGCATACTGAAGAGGGGATTTTTTTGACCATATATCACAATAGCCACAAAGTGATAACAGTTTCTCTTTTCACTTAAAATAAGACAGCTGAGATGAGCTTAATTGCAAACCATTATATTGCTTTCATAAAACAAAATCCTGTAAA